TAGTCCTCATTGTCCACTATGTTCAGAGAGTCCGGTTTTATCCCAGGCTTTTCCAGACCCAGGCCAGCTGGCCTTGGTGAGTTCCCAGTAGAACATCCCCATTGTCTCAGTGTGTGGGTGCACCCCTTGCGGTCCTGAGTTCCTTGCTCGTGCTCTCTCTCCTTCTGCTCCTGATTTGGACCTTGAGGTTTATGTCCGGTGCTCCAATGTGGGTCTCTGTCTCTGTCTCCTTTCATCGCCTGCTGAAGGTTAATATTCAGGAGGATGCCTATGTGTTTTTCTTTGGGTTCTCCTTATTTAGCTTCTCTAGGATCGCGAATTATAGGCTCAATGTCCTTTATTTATGACTAGAAACCAAATATGAGTGAGTACATCCCATGTTCCTCTTTTTGGGTCTGGCTTACCTCATTCAGGATAGTGTTTTCTATTTCCATCCATTTGTATGCAAAATTCAAGAAGCCCTTGTTTTTTTACTGCTGAGTAGTACTCTATTATGTATATATTCCATACTTTCTTCATCCATTCTTCTATTGAAGGGCATCTAGGTTGTTTCCAGGTTCTGGCTATCACAAACAATGCTGCTATGAACATTGTAGAGCATATACTTTTGTTGTATGATAAGGCCTCTCTTGGGTATAGTCCCAAGAGTGGTATTGTTGGGTCCAGGGGTAAGTTGATCCCGAATTTCCTGAGAAACCGCCACACTGCTTTCCAAAGTGGTTGCACAAGTTTGCATTCCCACCAGCAAAGGATGAGTGTACCCTCCTTTCTCTTTTTTAAAAACAGTATTTATTGGGGCTGGAGAGATGGCTTGGAAGTTAAGAACACTGGATGCTCTTCCAGAGGACCTGGATTCTGGAATCCGCATGGCAGCTCACAACTGTCTGTAATTCCAGTCCCAGGGGATCCCAAACACCTACTGACCTCCTTGGGTACCAGGCATCTGTGCAGTGTATAGATAGATATGCATGCAGAAAAAACCCAGCCATACACATAAAATATTTTAATGTTTTTAAATTTTTATTTGTATTATTTTAATTATGTGTATGTGGGGTGGGGATGTGTGCACATGAATGTAAGTGCCCATGGAGGCCAAAGGTGTCAAATCCTCTAGTGCGGGGTCACAGGCAGTTGGGAGCCACCCAATGTGGGTGCTGGGAATCGAAATTCAGGCCCTTAATCACTCAGCCATCTCTCCATTCCCCCCAAAATAATTTTTTTTTTTTTTTGGTTTTTCGAGACAGGGTTTCTCTGTGGTTTTGGAGCCTGTCCTGGAACTAGCTCTTGTAGACCAGGCTGGTCTCGAACTCACAGAGATCCGCCTGCCTCTGCCTCCCGAGTGCTGGGATTAAAGGCGTGTGCCACCACCGCCCGGCAATAATTTTTTTTTAATAACAACAAAAAACCGCAACATAAAAGAACATATTTTTGCATCATTAAACAAATGTTTCATAGCATAAACAAATGTAACACATCATCAACTAATATTCCACAACACAAACCCACAAACCCACACATGTGACTTTTGACAAAGAAGCAAAAAAAAAAAAACAATAACAACAAAAAACCATTAGGGTCATGGGTGTGAGGGCCAGTGTTAGCCTTCTAGAGTCTGTTCTCTCCAGCCTGTGGGTCCCCAAGACCAAACGCAGGGCATCATGTTTGGGGGATCTCACTACCAGTACGATAATAGCCCCACAACCTGGGAAACATGCCTGTTTCTTTTAGTAAGCTATGCAAGACTTGACGGACAGTCTAGGCTTCTCTAGTGAACCACTTCTATAGAAACCTGGGGTTTGTACAGGCTGTGATTCCTGGAGCATCCAAGATGGCTTGAACACATGCAGCCACATGGTTAGAGGTGGCAAGTTGGCACCTGCTGACATATGAGTGTACAAAGTCAATAATATAAACTGTCAACCTGCAAGCTTTCCTGCCCCAACTCATCCCTGTGTGTAGGCTCAATCTCTTCAGTATTAGGCTACAGAAGAAGCCACAAAAATATCTTGTTGTATCAGAATGTTAGCCAACTATATATTATCCCTCCCCCCTTTTTGGTAAATAGTTTTATATTACTTAAGGGTAAGTAGTTCTATCCTTAGAATGCAAATGGTTTTTAAATTTCAGTGCCTGCTTCTAATTTCAGCACAGTGACTCTGAGTTCTTGTTCAGCCTGGACTACAGGATTGAAACACAGTTTCAAAATTTAAAAAGAGAGTGTTCCCTGGACTGGAGAGATGGCTCAGCAGTTAAGAGCACTGATTGCTGCTCTTCCAACAGACCTGAGTTCAATTCCCAGCACCCATATGGCAGCTCACAACTGTCTATAACTCCAGTTCCAGGGGATCCGGCACCCTTTCTGGCCTCAGCAGACAGCAGCCATACGTGTGGTGCACAGACATGCAAGCAAAATACCACATACAAAAAACAAATTATTTAAAAATAGTGTTGCCCCAGGTGACCAACAGACCCTCACTGGGAATTTGGGACTGGCTGCAATTCCGTGTCATGGCAGACCTGCTAGCTAGCCGTCCTGGGGAGTCACTGTAGGCCTTTCCTGCTATAATTCTGATGCCCACGCACACCTCACCTTCATTCACATCCACCAAAGACTGCAGAAACACATCTGCCCCGAGCACACAGCCCTGCAGCCCAGAGCCTCCTGGTGGCGACTATGCGTCCCCTCTCCTGCTTGTGTACCACAGCATGCCACCACAGTGGGTACCAGGAAAACTGTTTGTGTGACTGGATGACTGTTTCTCAATGTTTGTGCATTCCAACGTGTTAGACTATAAAGTCTGTCTAGGAAATATGAAAGATCTTTTTTTTTTTTTTTTTTAGATAATGTTTATGCGTTGGGCGAGTGCGAAGGTCAGGAGAGAACCTGCAAGAGTTGTCCTCCTACCGTGTGGATTCTCTGGAGCTGCAATCAGCTCACCAGGCTTTGCGGCTGCATCCTCACCGGCGGCCATCACTTTTTCGTTGTGACAGAAAAGATTTTAAAGGATAAGGGTGGTTATTTCTTTTCAAAAAAAAAAAAAAGATGTATTTTTATGTTTAACCACGTGTTTATGAGTGCTCCAGAGCCCTTAGATTACCTGGAGCTGAGGTTACATGTAGGCACGGGTGAGCACCTCCCATGGGTGAACGTTGCTGAGTCGTGATTGAGCCAGCAAGATTCTCAGAACCAGCAAAGACTGGACTGAAGAGAACTCTAGCTCTAAGCGCAGGGACTCAAGGTGTGCACCCCCATACCAGCATGGCACCTTTTATTTCGAGGCAGAATCTTGCTGGCTCAATCACGACTCAGCAACGTTCACTCAGGTCTGGTCTAGCCTTTGCAGGCCCACACCTGAGGCTACCCCCGTGCTGGACTCTGCCCTGCCCACGGCTCTTCCTCTCCTAGCATGCCAAGTCCTTATGTTTACCGGACCTCTGCCTAGTAGGCACTCGTCACCTCAGCTTCTGTTCCCAAGGCTTTATTCAAATATCTCTTCCTCACTTGGGCTAAAAGATGGTTCAGCTTTTGTGAGCATTGAGTGCTCGTCCAGAAGACTGAGGTTCGACCCCGCCAGCACCCACACGGCGACTCACAACAATCTGTAACTCCAGTCTGTCTCTATGATCTCCAGAGACACCAGGCATGCACATGTCACACAGACATAGATTCAAACAAAGCACCCATACAAAAGAAGTAAAATCAAAACCAGATTTTGTTTTTTTCTCTGCAAAACTTCCTTATTGCCTCCCTCACCTCTCAAAGCCACACCCGGTCCATCAGCACGTGTTAGCGCAAACTGGGGAAACGGCTTGGCTTGCCGTGCTAAAAGGAGACTCCCCGGCTGATCCTAGTACCTATGTAAAAGCCATGCCTGTGATCCCTGCAGTGTGGGGACAGAGACAGGCAGATCCCTCGGGGCCTCTAGGGAGAGCCAGAACTCAGGGAGAGGAGGGACTGGGAGCTAATGCCGGCGTGCAGTGTTCCAGTTTAATCAGATGAGTTCTGTGACCGGATGGGGATGACTGTACAGCAGTGTAAATGAATTTACCGCCGCGGAGTAAGCTGTATAATAGCAGCAAACGTTCCACACAGATGTATCTGGGCCGTGTCTGTTATGTTCTCTTTGCGTGGCATGCTATCCAGCACCCACAAACACAGCCCTCGCCCCATCATCACCGTTTATTTACCCCAAGCCAGAACGATGCGTGGTGCCCCGGAGCCAGGGCTGTGCCCCGGAGTCAGGGATGCGCTCTGGTTTTTGTCTGTAATACCCTGATGCATTTTGCTCACTGTTAACTGCAGCCCTCTGAAGGTGGTCATTCTGGACCAGAGGGCCACATTCCACACACACGTTTGGACAGCACGTTTTTATCATTTGCTAGAGATAGAGTCTTGCTGGTCTTACACTCTTAGACTCAAGTAACCTCCTGGTCTCCCAAGTAGCTGATGTTACAAGTATACATCACTATGTCAGATTTAAATGACAGACTCAAGAATGGCTGAATTCTACGATTTGCCAAATTTAGCAGTATGTTTTGTTGGCAGCAGTTGGTTTTTCGACCCAATCTTATAATGCAATGGTCAGTACAAGCAGTTTTGGATTGCATCCAATGCACAGAGGACCCCAGACCTCTTTACCAGGGCTCCCATGACGACAGCTGCAGGGGTATCTGATCACGACTGCCTGTGATCAAAGCATCCAGTGTCGGTGTCCTAAAACCCCACACAAACATGACACTCAGTGCTGCAGTAGTAGACAGATGGTTAAGGACATTTATTATAGTCAACTTACCAAACTCAGATTTGCTTTTTGAAAACTATATTTGAGCTCAGTATTTTACGTACAAAATTTTGCACAGTTCACTTCTTTCCGACAGAGGTAAAATATCGCCTGTGTTTGCTCTCTTCCCATCATTCCGCTGCTCTGACGTGACCCTGTCATGTCAATCCAGAGCTAGTCAGAGATTACACTTCTCTCTCCGGCAGCCTTTCCCGCGCTTTACTTTCTCTCTTTATGTTCTCGAGCATAGCTTCGAGGTCTGGCGTATTCATTTCCAAGATCCACAACAATCACCTCCTTAGAAAACGTCACTCCTTTCAGAGGTCTCTTTTGGCTTTCAATAACTGAAGGAGTTAAGGTGGCGCGCGTGGGTGTTCTCTCAACGATCCCACCCTGCAATGAGAACGGGACAGACCATAGAAATGACATTTCAAACACAGGGAGTGGTGCTTTAAAGCATTCAAAGGCACGTTGTGAAGGAGCAATAGAGAAAGGATTTTCGAATGGTAGAGGCAGCAGTGACCATGTGTGGCTGCCAGATTCCCACGGCTAGAGAAACCTGGACTCGTCCGGCCTAATTTGATGGCATAGCGTCAAAGCTGAGAGTGATATGGGCCCGCATTCTGTCTCCGGTGTGGAGATAGGGGGGAGCTCATGAAGGTTCGCAGCAAGGACAGCAGGCTGGTCCTGGGCTCAGCAGCAGTGGGGCAGCAGACACACATCTCTGTTTCCCATGTGTAATGAAGTTTAGATTCTAGATAGCTTACAGGGACTTTTATAGCTCTAAGATCCCAGGAGTGTAAGAAAATCAAAACCAAGGGAAATGTGAAGAAAAATAGGAATATAAGAATGAAAGCTGAGGGGCTGGAGAGATGGTTCAGCAGGAAGAGCGCTGCTGGCCATACCAGAAGTCCTGAGTTCAATTCCCAGCAACCACGTACTGGCTCACAGCCATCTGTAATGAGATCTGGTGCCCTCTTCTGGCCTGCAGGCACACACAGAGGCAGAAGATTATGTATATAATAAATAAATATTTTTTTAAAAAAAATGAAAGATGAAAACGAAAAGCCTCCAGCTTGACAATGCCATATCTACTTATTGTCTCTACATGGGTGACTCTCCTCATCGAACCTAAACGGCCCCGCGAGCACAACACAGGTCACCTTGTAGTTGGCTTCTCTAACATTCGCAGACTCGAATATCTGTCTGTTTTTGTCCTCTTCGAATTCGATGTTCTCTCCTAAGTGTGGGGCCGTGGCTCCCTTACTCTGTCTTTGGACGAGGATGCCAGGTCTCACAGGCATGTCCATGTTTACCAAGTGCAGTAGGACCCTGGGAAAATCAGCAATTTTTAAAAATTCATGCATCCTAGTCAACATTACCACATATAGAAATGGCTAGCATATCGCGCGCGCGCGCGTGTGTATGTGTGTGTGTGTGTGTGTGTGTGTGTGTGCTTGTCTGATTGGATGTGTACAGAGGTCAGAGGTTGTCAGTTGCCATCTGATGTCACTTGTTTCCCCTTGTGATTTGGGGGCATTCACTGAACCGGAAGCTCACAGTTCATCTGGGCTGGCTGGGATCTGCCTGTCTCTGCCCCGAACTGGGGTTACAAGTGTAACCCCACACTTGGCTTTCTATGCGAGCGCCGGAGAAGCCAAGGTCAGCTTGTCAAGCCTCAGCACAGCCGCCTGCCGTTGAGCGCCTTCCTCAGACTCACTTGTCTTGATCCTCGGGTTTGTTCATCTCCACATTAGCAGCTAAACAATCTTCACCTTCGTTCTCATCAGTACAAAGTAGATTCACTGACTCTTCATTCTTGCCTCTGAAACTAAAAATAACAATAAAACACCAGTACAGAAGGCGCTAAGGTGTGGAATGGGACTTTTACTTCTAAACAGGGCATCGGCGGTGGTGGTGCACGCCTTTAATCCCAGCACTCGGGAGGCAGAGGCAGGCGGATCTCTGTGAGTTCGAGGCCAGCCTGGTCTAGAAAAGCTAGTTCCAGGACAGGAACCAAAAGCTACGGAGAAACCCTGTCTCGAAAAATCCAAAAAAAAAAAAAAAAGAAAAAGAAAAAAGAAAAACCCAGATGTGGAAGAAGTAACTAGTTGCTACCTTGCTTATTCTATTTTATTTGGGTTTTTGAGACCGGGTCTCTCAGAACCTAGGTTGATCTTGAAGTCTCTGTGTAATATATAACAACCCTGAATTCCTAATCCTGCTTCCACCTCCCCAAATTCTGGAATTACAGGTGTGTGCGCCAGCTTGCCTTTTCCTTGTTTTATTTAAAACGACTTTGTGTTATTTCTAGACACACTTGCTACTGTAACTTGAAGCCAGTTCCCAGATCATCAACATAGGTGTATACCATTTATATAAAAACACTGCCAATAAGAGGAGGATACAAATGAAGCAAATGAGGAGGATGATGAAGAACGTGATGGTCGTGGTCTCAAAGACCAAAGGGTTCGATTTGTCGTCCATTTTCTCATCCTCATTTTGTCCAAACATTCTTTCCCAGCCCAGTTTGAATGCAGATTTCTTGTTCTTTATGTTTTCTAGAAAGAGAAGGATAAAAGGCTGTTTTCACTGTGTTCTTCCGCTCCAGCAAGTCTCGCAGAGGTAGCCTGGCTTCTTTTGGTGGAAGTGACTCACACTGCCTAATTTCTCTTCATAAAGGCAGTAAGGGGCTGCGGTGGCCAGAGGGGAGACTGAGCTGGGATACGCTGCTCACTCAGCTCACCTCCCCTCACCCCCAAAATTGCCAAAACCCAAAGGAGAGAGGACTTGCAGCAGCAGGAGACGGACCCAGCTCTCCATTCTCTTCTCTTCAGTGACATCACAGAGCCACAGAACTGTTGTGCTAGAGACCATGATCTGGAGCTAGAGGCCACTGACCTCTCTGTGGGCTGCGGCTTCCAGCCGCCCTCTCAGGTGTCAGGTGGAGCTCACTTGGCACTGTCTTGGCCATGTTTTAGACCAGGATTTTCCAGATTCCAGCTTTCTTCTCCCGACTCAAGCCTCATTGATTGAATTCTTTTCGTGGATGTGATCAGCCCACTCACCTTCCTACAAAAATCCCCGTCTATAGCTCTGTGTACTCCTAAGGACTTTTCTCCAGAAGGAATGGCCTGCGTTCTTCATCCTGTCCACTGTGCTGGCCTCCTGGACTCTCAGCTAGGTGCCGTCCAGGCCACAGCTCATGGAAGCAGAACTAGAACAAGATGCTCAGTCAGAAGATGAGCTCATGCCCCAGGAGTTGAGTCATGTCCATGACAGGGAGGGCAGTGCTAGAACTGGATTGTACTATATAAAAGCAAGTTTGAGAAAGGTGGTGGCATAGGCCGGCAATACCGGTCTGATGGGGAACCTCCTTCAGCCAAACGGCCTTTAAGAGGGTGGACCAGGTGGGGCCATGACTTTTGAGCTCCCAGAAAGCCACTGTCCTGCCCAACTTGCTCTTTCTCTCTTCTTCCCATGCTCTACACCTTGAGGTTGGACCCCGTTCCTGTTCCGTGAGTTTTCTCCCTTAGTACAGTCCTTAGAATACACCATTTCGGAGTCAGCTTGGATTATTTGACTCACGCTCCCCGCTTTATGCACTCAGCTTCACCTGGCGCCCAACACAAAGTTGGGCCAAGTCCATGCTTGCTCTTCAGGGTGCCCAGGCCCCCCACGATGCTGCTGGTTCACCAGCTCAGTGTGTTTCCTGCTGGGACTGGCAACCCACCCACCACCCCTCTCATTTGTCCCTTTTAACTGGTCCCATCTCACTGTGCCCCTGTTTCTCCAGCCAGTGATCCCTGTGTCCACGATTTGCGACTGATGGAAAGTTCTGGGCTTTCACCTTATTCAAGTCACCAACTCTTAGAATCACTTTGACTGTCCTTAATAACCACTCTTAATTTGTTTTTTTTTAAAAAGGATACTTTTCAGTACCTAAGTAAGCAACACCCGCTGTTCAGTGCTGCCTGCATCTCTCAGACATGCGTCCCTAACTGCAACACCGGCTGGCAAATAAAGGTTACTGCACCTACTCCAGCTCACTGTAATTGCCTTACAGGAGGTAAGATCTGAAAAACTACAAAATTACTGATAGTATAATCATCTTGGAGCTTAATAATTATTTTACTTAAGCTGTGAATGGTACTCTGCCAAGCTTATGTGATTTTTCTTATACATCCATTTATTTGATTCTAGGGATGTTGCGGGAGGTCCTCCCACTCCGGACTCCAGCCTATAGCTGCTGAGATACCAGCCCATTGGGGTGTGGTCTCTCTCCCTTTAAAAAAGCGGCCACTTCCCTCTCCTCTCTCTCTTCACTTCCTGCTCCGCCAGCGACTAGACTCCCTTCCTAGTTGCGTAGAGGGCTGTTGCCTGGGACAGTGATCTGTAAGTTTTTTCCCCTTTAAATAAATACCACCCTATTAATCATAATTCCAAATTGGTGTGGCATTGTTTGTGACTTACGCCTTCATAGAGATTAGTTTTATTTTTCATATTATCTCATTAAGAAAATGGTTTAATAACAGAGCCAAAAATGAGGCACTTATAAAAAATGATATAGTCTTTAGAGGCTAGTAATAAACAGCTAGTTTTAAAAATCAATACTATGAAGAGGGATAGTATTAGTTTGACAAACAAGATCCAGTCAATGTCAAAGGGTGCTAAAACATTATCTGAAAAAAATTTGTGCTTCTAAATTTAATAATCAAAATCTGTTTAAAAGTTATGATAAATTAATGGATCAAGTGTCTCTCCAGAAAGGTAATATACATGCCATCAAAATTATGTTCAACAATGAAATGTTATCTTTACTGGACAAGTTTCATACCTTAAAATCCTCAATGAGGGCATTAAAACAAAACACTGGACAGAAGATTCAGACTTTACAAGAGGCAGTAGTAGAAAGATTTTATAAGATTTAAAAAATCATCAAAACTGATGAGCAGGGACAAAGGTACAAGGACAGAATTTAGCCTCATCAGTACATGCCAGACCCTGGGATGACTTACCTAGAGTTTTAACTGCCTATTTGGTAATAACTCTCAGAATGATCATCTGGCACAGAGTACCCTAAGGTAGTCAAAAAATACATATGGCAACCAATAGGTATGAGCGATCTTAAAAAAACAAAAAACAAACAAGCAATAGTCTCTTATAGACTACATTCGCCATTTGTTAGGGAAATGGTGAAACCGTAGGCTTCAAGCAATAAGGCCACCCCACACAATTGGTTTCAATTAATCTCAGTAGTCCTACAAGATGGGCCTCAGCAGCATTAAAAGTGTTATTAATAAAAAGAGGCAAAAAATTTTAAAACAACAGGAAAAAGCAAAAGGATTTGAGACTTCCCAAGATAAAATTCTTGGTGAGGGCCATAACTCTGATCCTTGGGACCAGGTTCTCTGTGACAAACACACCTTGTTCCTGTGTAGCACAGCAGCTTTAAATGCTTGGGACAGGATTCAGGAACTAGAAAAAAATTGAAGCATATATTAGAGTTAAACAAGACCAAATAGAACCCTTTCATGACTTTTTACACATATTAACTTAGGCTGTACAAGTAGGAGTAACAGACCCGGAAGCTAGGTGAGCACTTGTTGAAAATGCCAACTTAAAATGCAAAAAGATTGTTGGGCTTTTAAAGGTCAGATCAGCACCAACAGTTAAAGGAATCTTGCTTACAATAAATGTTGAGACATTTGACTATAATACTGAGGCTTAGGTAGGAAAAGTGATTTCCAATGGTATAAGGAGACACCAAATTGCCAAATGTTTTAATTGTGGTAAAAATAGGGCATCTAAAAAGGGACTGTAGACAAAAAAAATCCTAAAAAATAATGTCTCCTCTAAAAACGGCAAAAATAGGGGGACTCAGTTTCTGGTATATGTAAGAGATGTCACAAAGGCTAACATTGGACCAGTAAATGTAGAACAACAAAAGACAGACAAGGCAAACCAATATCATCAGGAAACTCCTTGGGGGGCTTCTCCCAAGCTCCCATGTTTAATGTGGTCCAGTCATTCCTAGTCACTGTGTAAAACATGTCTCACCAAAAAATTAAATAATCCAGTGCCTACTGTAAAAAACCATTTTATTCTGGATAATAAAATAGACATAGAGAATAAATCAAAAACTTCAGCAAAAAATAAAAAACGTATATTTTGGCAGACATCTATAAATGATCAAAGACCAAAGCTGAAAATGCATATAAATTACATTGTAATTAAGGAATTAATAGACACAGATGCAGATGTGAGTATCATTACTTCAAAATCTTGGTATCTGAATTGGCCTCTTCAAGAGGCAAATATTCAATTCCTAGGAACTGGAACCCTATTTCAAGTAAAACAAAGCACAAAATGGGTTGAATGCAAAAGGCCAAAAAGATAAAAAGAAAGGCTGAGGTCTTATATAGCTAATATTGCAATAAATTTATGGGGTTGTGATTTATTGCAGCAATGAAATATCCAGATTAACATTCCTGTAATTCCCCCCTCCTCAAAATCTCGACAACAAATGGTGCCCAAAAAAGCCACGCCATTTTAAAATGTTGGCTTTCTGTGCTGAAGCTTGCTTGCTGGCAGGGACCTTGAAATGCCATAGAGTTGTGGCAATAAACATGGCTTCAGCTGGTACCTCTGCCATGAGTCTGGAATCTCAGAAAGCTAAGAAATGGGCTGGATTCAGCCATCAAAGCCACTGCTCTAATCTTCTCCATATTGCTTGGTAAATTAAAGACTCATGTGGTCAGAAAAAGAGAGAGAGATATACAGTAAAGATATATTCAAAGATGAAAAAATCTCTAAATGGTTTACTATGTGTTAAAAATATATGCAAACTTGGGAAAGTAAAGAAAAAGATTAAAGTCCTTAAAATAAAAAAGAAAGAGAGTAGTTGGGTATGGTGGTAACCACCTTTAATCCTGCACTTGGGAGACTGAGGCAGGTGGACCTCTGTGAATTCAAGGTGTGGTGGTGCACACCTTTAATTCCAGTACTTGGGAGGCAGAGGCAGGAAGATCTCTGTGAGTTCAAGGACAGCCTGGTCTACAGAGGGAATTCTAGGACAGCCAAAGATACACAGAGAACCTGTCTCAAAAAGCCAAAAATTAAAAGTAAAAATAAAATAAATAGAGGTTAAACTAAAGCCATGTAAAGATGAAAAAATACAGAAAGTCTGGAGACTGTATGTTATTATGTTCTCTTTGAATTGTTTGAATGCTGAGGAAGGAGTAACAGCTGCTAAAAGATACTTGTTTATAAATGCTGCTGAATTAATCCAAGATAGGTGTTTTGAAAATACCTTGACTTTAAAATTAAAGTTAAAAGGTATGTTACTTTGGAGAAGAGGTTTTGCTTTTGTTCCCACAGAAAATGAGAGGCTGTAGATTCATTCTGAGTTAAGAAAAATCAGGTTTGATCAAGAAAGACCACCTGAGAAATCTCCGGTAGGAACAGATGGCCCAGATGTCAGAGTTCTATATCCAGAACAGATTCAAGATGCT